ATCAGCATTTATTTCATTGATTTGATTCTTATATTATGGTAATTTAATAGAAATCAGCAAGCTCTGGCACCAAAACTTTTAGATGGGATGTCTAGAAACAAGGACATCTATGAAAAGATAGATCTTTTACAGATGAAGTAATCGAAGAAATGGCTAAAAAGATTGTATGTATAACTGCTTATTTAATATCATGTATGATTGGCATTATAGTTGTATGCATGACTTTATACTAGCTTGTATAGATTTGTTGTTACAGCCTATCTTATTATTGTCTTTCAGGATGATTATGTTACCAAAGTTAAATTTGGTGAACTGGCAATTCAGTATGGCAAAGATCCTTTATCTTTAGCATTAGGAGCTAAAGAAAGGCCTGGTCGAGTTCATAAGGTTGGTAAATTTGTGTTGCCATCAAAGATTTTAGTAATCAACCCAAAACCTCGTAAATCACAAATGCATAATATGAAGCAATCATTGAGCAACAATAGCAATGACTTGATGACCAAGAGCAACACCTCAATAAGCAACAGCAAAAACTCGCTGCTTTAAAGGCCATATTGGTAGTAATGCAGTATAGCATGCCTGTAGGCCAATCGGATAGCGTCGTCCACATAAGACAAGCTTCTTTTGCAAGTCAAATAGGGAACCCAACCTCCGCTACTAGCCATGAAGTATGATTTTGTTTATAAGTTTAATATTAATTTGTTTATTATATTTATTGATTTGGTTTTAATACTTATATTTCATTATATATTATAGCAGGATATTAGGACTCAGAGTATGACCCTTGCTTAGGCTATCATGGATGAGTTATCTAATTATTCACTCGATCATTTATCCAGAGAAAACTGTATAACCATTGAGTTTGAAGAAGGGTCATTTGATAAACCATCATTTTCTTACATTGGTGTGGATGAGGTTAAAGAATTTTGTAAACTGGATGAAATATCAGCTATTGATATTGTTACTTATATGAGGTTAGCTTATAAATACAAATATAAACACTCAATATGTATTAATCTATATTATGGTGTAATACTAACTAGTATTATTAATTGTTATAGTGCAGCTTCCTATATAGAAAGGTCAAAGCGAGATAGTTGACCCATAAATTTAGATTCGTTGATCCTAACTTCATTAGTGAGTAGAGTGGCACAGTCGCTTTTCGTGCTAAACATGTGATAAACAGCATGCAAAAATTGGCTAATTATTATTTGCTCCTGTATAGCGTAGTAAGTTATATTCATACAAATAATTATTCCAACCTTATCTGAATCTGATATGATGCCTAATCTGAGTATATTATTCTTATTATTTTGCAGTTATCATTGGGTGCTTATTGTGATTGATACCAAATCCTTAATGCTGTACTTACTTCATTAAGCTAATCCAATGGTGATGCCTAACGCCAAAATCTAAACTTTTATAAAGAGGTATTACATGTTATTATATTATATATCTTCTGTTTCTTCATAAGTAATTTTATTTATGTATTAAGTAATTTTTTTCTTTTCAATTTAGGGTAATATCTGCATCGAATAAGAAGGCAAAGAAAAAATGGGTGTCATTACCGGTAAATGTGAAATTTATTCTTTTATGTTGAGTTTGTGTAGATAAATGTTTCCTAAACCCACTAAATTTAATTTTTAGATACTTCATCAATCCGAAAATATTGAATGTGGATATTATGTCCTTCATTTTATGCGGAAGATAGTTTGATATGATTTTATGACCACATCATTCAAGGTTAGTATAAATTTCATAAAGTCATTATATCTTTAAAAAAATAAAAAGCTAAATTATATTCTCGTTTATTAACATTTACTTTTAATATTTTTTTTTTAGTGGGAGAGTAAAGAAAGTTTCATGGTAGAATGTAAATATATGAGGATGTATTATTATTGAATGGTGTGAGTATGTATTATTATTTATTGATAAACCTTAAGGTTGGACATTATTGGTTGAATGTAAATATATGAGGATCATTTGTTATAATATTTTTAACATGCCATGTTGAATGAATAATTTAAGTTTATAGATTGGGGTATTGGTTTAATATTATTGGTATATATTTCTTTTATATGAATACACATATATTAAGTACGATTAGTTGAGAAAAGTATATTAATATGGCAACATTATCATTTTTAAATTCAGATGTGCGATCAATTTATTGAAATACAAGAATGTTCATAATGTAAATTTCAAAATGTAATTCGTAGTATTACATATATAAACCAAATGTTTTTTGGGCATAAACCTACAACTGACTTCACATATATAATTAAACAAAAGTTTTTTTGATGGGATTACTGAAGGCGTTTTTAGTAAGAAAATACCTTGAATATTCCCTAACAAAATGTTATTGAAGGTGTTTTTGATCAAAACCACTTACAATAATCCCACCCAAAAATTTATTGTCTAGATTATTAAAGGCCTTTTGGGCCAAAAACACTTTCAAGAATCTACTACAACTTTTTTGTATGGATTATTGAAGGTATTTTTTACAAAAACCACCTTTAATAATCCCACTTAAAAATTTATTGATTGGATTATTAAAGACGCTTTTAGCCAAAAATGCCTTCAAGAATCCATTCCATATTTTTCCTGTAGATAATTAAAGGCGTTTTCCTGTCAAAAACGCTTTCGATATTCCATCTCCAAAATTTTTTAAATCGATTGGTGAAGGCGTTTTTGCCCAAAAAATACCCAGAATAATCCGTTACAAATAATCATTGCAAAAACCCCAAAAAAGGCTAAAATGAGGGATCGAACTTGCCACCTTATGGTTAACAACCGTATGATTCTTAAATTTTGATAAGATATTTATTGAAGGTATTTTTTACCAAAAACGCCTTCAATAGTCCTGTGGATTTTTTTTGTGCATTTATTAAAGGCATTTCTTGTAGAAAATGCCTTCAAAAATCACATACATTTTCTTATGAGGAGATTATTTAAAGCGTTGTCTACCAAAAACACCTTCAATAATCCCTTATCAATTTTTTTAATTGGATCATTCAAGCTATTTTTTGCCAAAAACATTTTTACTATTCACTCAAAATTTTAAGATAGGATAATTGAAGGCATTTTAGTCCATAAACGGTACTAATATCAAGTCTTGGGTAGCGTTTATAAGTAAAAACGTTGTTATTTGAATATTTAGTGGCTTTTTGATAATAAATGCCTTAGGTTTTATAAAAACACGGAAGCTAGTGTCATTTGTAAGTGAAATGCTGCTGTAAAATTGCCACTAATCTTCTATTTTATTGTAGTGTTAGTTACAAGGAACTCAAACAATAAAGTTAACCAAAAGTTTTTCCATGCTTGTCACAAAACAACAATGTACTTCAAGTACAAAGGTAATCTATCATATATCTACATGATGCATTGCCAATGGTATATTTAGCAGTTAAAAAATTAAACACATCCTAGAAAATGATACCTTTGCCTAAATATATACTCCATAATATTGCCATCTCTAATTCAAATCTCAGGCCTAAAAAATTCAAATCATACCTAGACTTGTCACCTAGTGATTCCCTCAACTTTCTCCATGGTTCTGATTCGCCACCTTTAAAAGGACTAAAGGAGTCATTCACCATGCACATAGAGATTCCTTTTTCAATGGAGAACTCTTTAAAAACAAAGGCACACCTCTGAAACGTTGACTGCTCCATACCTCATCTTTTTCCACATACCCGAGTTCCTTGATGTTGGATCTTGTAAAATCTCACAGCTTCCGACATCCCTAGCGGCTGGAAGGAATTGATGAAAAGTCAACTGAAAGTGGGGATGATGCCCATGAGGGTTCCCCCAGCAAGCTTCGAAAAGGATTGACAACTCAGTGATGGCCCTCCCTTCTATATTATTTTTTTCTAGACATTAATTGCAATTAGGAAAGTAGCAATCAAGTAATAACGACAATAGCATCTCGAAGCCAACAACAGACAACCTCGACACAGAAGTTCCAAACTCTGTTGAAATACCAAACTTCTCGTCTCGCTTACCTTCTCTATAATTTCTGGAGGATTAAGGAGTGTTTGACTCACTGGAGACAAAACTTTGATTCCAGCCGAAGAGCGGAATTCTGTCAAAACAAAGGCAACATTTTATCTGCAATAGAAAGAAATCAAATTTTAAGAAAAATGAAAAATAAAAGAAACCAATAAAAATAAGGGCATTGTGATATTATGACTAGAGCATTCTCTGCAACCACAAACAAAAAGAAATATTATCATATTTTCAAGAAAAAAAAGGTTAAAAAAAAAGAAAACAAAATACTGTAGGCGTTGAAACCGGAGGGGCCGGCACTCAGACTGTTTGATTGTCTAGAGTCCGAACGGCACACCTTTTTTTATTATTACATATACGCTCCATCCTAAAGGACACAAATTTGCAATTCCGTTCCATCGTTTAAAACAATGCAACATTGAATCTTGTCTCCATCCTTCAAGTTTTTGCCCAAAAAAGAAGAAATTTTAAAATTGAATAAGGTGGCAAACTCGAGGCAAACAACTTATGTTGCTGTTTTGTATTCCAAGTCACAATGAAACAGTCTTGACCGGGACTGGGTGTCTACTCAGACTTCAATAATGGCTCCCCCAGTATTGCAACGCAGGCAAGTTATGGACTTTATTTTCTTTCATTTCTATGATAAATTAGGAATATGGCATCGCAAAAATCATGATCGATTGGCTGGTTGTAAATTGTTGCGATGATAGGTAGCACCAGAAGTTAACTTGGATTGGTCTTGTTCATACCATGGCCAGAGCTTGATGAGTCATATGTACATGCTCTAAACTGGAGATTACAAAGGGTTATATGTTGTTTATGGATGATGTCTGCTCAACTTTTTGGCCTTACTACTGCATTACTTTCCAATGTTTTGTCTTGTTCTACCAAATTCTGCTCTTCTGATTCTGGATATAAATTTTAATACATACGTTTTATGCTTATTCTTGCAGTGATATAATCTCAAACTAAAGTTAAGGAGTTGGTCTCTGATGGCACCTTCTTCCTTATTCTTTTTCCTCGGAGGGATTGTTGTGCTAATAATATTATTGATTATGATAGCAATCTATTGGAAAATTTTCAAGCCAGCAGGGATGATGAGATTTACGTCACAAACTGCAAGGCGGGCAGGTAATGGAATTGATGAATAACAGATAAAGAATGTGTTATCCTTAGAAATCATTGGCTGCTAAAGTTTCTGTCTCTTGCAGCATCGCCAGATTTATTTAGTGGGAACCTACGAACTATCAGCTATTTTGACTTCAAGACGTTAAAGAGGGCAACCAAGAATTTTCACCCCGAGAATCTCCTTGGCAGAGGTGGATTTGGGCCTGTCTACAAAGTAAGCAAGCTTGATACAACCAATTGAACTTATTATCTGGTGCATTAGCGTGTATGTATATATTTAATTTCCATGTATATCTATAGTGTAAGATATGAGTCGATATGTTTCTCTTTAATTTTAATGTCTAAAGTTGAAGATTGCAAAATCATTTGAGAAACACTGGATCAACTAGATAAGCAATGTTTCAGTCAGTTATCTTACAACTTAAAAAGCTCAATGTTTTGTAGCTTTTGGGTATATATATATATATATATATATATATATATATATATATATATAGGGTGCATAGGTCATTTGAAACATACAATAAAAGCAAGAAGGGTATAATTTGGTAGGAAATATTAAGATTTTTTCTTTTGACTTTTGATAGGGAAAGTTACGAGATGGAAGATTGGTTGCTGTGAAAAAACTGTCCCATGACAAATCCCATCAAGGAGAATCAGAGTTTCTTGCAGAGGTGAGGATGATCACAAGTATCCAACACAAGAACCTGGTTCGCCTTTTGGGATGTTGCTCAGATGGGGCTCAACGGTTGCTCGTATATGAATTTATGAAGAATGGTAGCTTGGACCACATAATATATGGTATAACTCACCCCAGTTCTCTGTTTTCTCTTGCTTTGCGTTAACTAGATATTAGTTCATTATGACAAATACTCAATTAAAAACAAATAACCAAATACAATACACAACTTTTATTGTGACAAGATCTACAATTTTTTATTAGTAAACTTTCAAGAGTACAGTCACTATTTTTTTTCTCTTTCACAATATCATGCACCCAAAACTCATTAAGCCAAAGAACTATCTCATAAGTATCCTTCAAATCTCAAACAAATGTCATTTGCTACACGTGAACTTGACGAGACCAACTGTTGTGCTAATGACTAGTTGGCATTATTGCAGGCTTGCAGCCGTGGTAGTTTTTTAATTTTTGTGAAATTGATCACTAATATAAAGCGAGAAAATTTTCCACTCAGTCAATAGTTTGATATGAAGGTTCCTGATTACTGAAAGAAACATATCATGATTTTGCTTAAAACCTATGAAGCATGTAGACTTCTGAATGTCTCGCGTACTTGTGTCATATTTGCATTCGGCATTTTAACGCTTACGACATGCCGAATACGGGTCAAATTTGGGTAGATACAACAAAGGAGAAAAAAAAAAAAAAAAGATGATTATCATATGGATAATGACACCATATATTATTTTATTGATATGTCTATTATCATTTTTTTTTCACAAGAAAAATATCTTTTAAAAATCAATCCATTATTTACTATATATTTTTAACTGATGATTATAATATACAAAATTTATTTTTTATTATCATATCCGTATCTTAATTTTTTAAAAATTATCATATTATTATATCTGTATTGTATTACACATGTATCATGTGTATGTGTCCGTGTCTATGTACTTGTTCATGCTTCATAGCTTAAAACCATTTCTAATGCAAAAATTCTCCAACTCGAGAATACTAATTTTGTACTTAAAATGTCCTATGACACAGGAAAAAGCGTTATCTTCTTGAACTGGGACACTCGGTTTCAAATAATGGTAGGCATAGCTCGAGGGCTTCAGTATCTACATGAGGATTCGCATCTAAGGATTGTTCACAGAGATATAAAAGCAAGCAACATTCTTCTTGATGACAAGTTTCACCCAAGGATTGGAGATTTTGGGCTGGCTAGGTTCTTTCCCGACGATGAAGCTTATCTCAGCACCACATTTGCTGGAACTTTGTAAGCCTCTTCTCCAACCCTACGTAATAAACAACTCGTGAAGCATATATGAAATCAACTCTCTATTTTCTGGTTAGTATAGATTCATTTCTCTTCTTATCCCTGCTATAAGAAGAGTGATTATACAGCAACTCCCATAATAGCAGGACAAAGGCATTTACATTCTAGGCGACAAAATGAACCACCACAATTACTAATGTTTTGAAATCCATTCACCACTGCATTAATGTTTTGAAAAACATTATCAGCATTTTTTACTGTTCCCTGTCTTCAAATCTTCACAAGTTTCAAAACTGACTTTCATGAAACTGGTACTGTTGCTTCTTTTTCTACTTCACTTATGGAAAGCACGTCTTAACCAACATATATTTTAATTATCTACGTACTTACATAAAATTTGAACATTAGTGGTTCTAGTATAATTCATAAAAATCTTGTCTTCTTATAAGCTTGTTTTTTATTTTTGAAAAATCATATAAATTAAATTTGATAATATTGATCCAATTATCAATGTGATAGAGGTGTTCATGGGTTAGTTCCATGCTTGACATTTATAGCTTATATACTATCCAAGTTTGATTCAACCCGATATTTCGAATCTAAATTTTTTCTCAGCCCAACCCATGTGAAAAAAATAAAACCCAAGCTACCCATTAAGCCAATTTATAGAATAAAAAAAAATACTTTTTTAAAAAAATAAAATATTGAAACAAAAATTTACAAATATTTTTTGTAATTATAATAATTTAATTACAGTTATGAAATTAGGGTTGGGTACGAGCTTTAATTCTTGTGTCTGAGGCTCAGCCTAAATTTTAAATGAACAAAAATTTTTTTTCCAAACTCATTTAATAGGTTTTAATTTTTTGTTCAAATCTTCTTAGAACTTAAACGCGCTTTCGAGTTGTATTGGTCTGTCCTTCGAGCAAGTCTATAATGAGATTAGTTACTTCCCTTTAACTTTACTTACCATATTAAATTTGTTGACTAACAACTTGCATAGATAAAACCAATTTATTTTGGTAAACTTGACATTTTTTTTCATTAGGATAGATCTCTTATAGATGAAAAACTCTAATTAACAAAATATTATTATATTAATATTAATATTAATATATGTATTAAAAGATATAAAAATATTATTTAAATAAACAATTATTATTTAATATTATTTTCTTTAAAGTTAATTAATATAAGTTCAATTAAAAAATTTTTATAACTATTTAAAAACCTAGTTACCCATAAAAAAATTCTATTGTCAACATTTTGGAGTTTATCAAAAATAAATCTCTCTATTTTTTATATTTAATAATCTAAATCTAGAAAACATTATTTTTATTTAAATGAAAACATATATAAATAAATTATAGAGAAGACATAGTTTGTAGAATTTGTTCTAATTTGGTATATTTGAGATGGAAAAGTATAAAAATTTAAGTAAAACAAAGTAATAACAAAGCACAAAAAGTTTTTGATTTGATTTATTCTTCACTTGAATCAATTTACTGGGAAAGATCTCACTTAGAATAAACCTAGCTTCGATTTGAAGAATTTAAGTCCAACTTTCTTAAAGTCTACATCACCCTCCTAATGTCTTCGCTCAATCTCCTAGTTTGCTCTCTCTCTTTGATTCACCTAATAAAAAACAAGGAAGTTTTTTTTTAATTAATGCCCTTTTTTTTATAAAATTTAAGGTTAAATTGAATAAAATTCAAATGCAAGTAGATATGATTGATCCACTAGTTTAGAAGATCAATCCATTCTTTAACAAAAATGTTCATTAGAGTTTTTAAGCTAAAAAGGATCGATCCCTTTTGAAATAGGATTGATCCCTTAACTAAAAAAGGCCATGTCAACCAAAATAAACTTATTTCATATGCCTAAGTTGTCATGTTAACAAAGTCAATGCCACACCAAATATGGCAATGACTACGTAGCAAAGTTAACAAAGAGTTACTAAACACACTTGTAATTAAACCAACATTTTTAAATTCAAGTTGTACGAGGACGAAATTTTTTGAATTACACTAGAGGAATTAAATTTCAAATTTCTTATGAATATAGAAATTATTTGCATAATTTGATAATTGATTTTATTCATTCAAGTTGTCACATCAGCAAAGTCAATGTCTACTTCATCAAATCAACAGTCATGTCAATATTTTTAGCAACAAAACTTTAGTAGAATTAATGATTGTACTAATATTATTAAATCAAAATAGCATAAGGACTACATTTGTATGAATTACAATAAATAGACAAATTTTAAAATTTCAATAATACAATGATTGTTAGCCTAATTTAACCTATATTTTGTTGTCTTAATTAGCTCCTCTCACTTTATTAATTAATGTCTTGAAGCTCAATCAAATATGTGTTGGCTTGGGCTTAAATATTTAGGGCAAGCCCCTTAATAAGATTTCGCATGTGTATAAATATTGTCACATCATCAAAGGAAACAATTCAAATTTGTACATGTGGTAAACTAATGAAAATATATAGTAAAAATTTAAAATAAATTTTTATTTCCTTTTTCTTTTTTATAAGATATTTCTTTGTTTTTTTGTTTAAAGACTAAAAAGGTTTATAAAATAAATTTTATTCTATAAAAAATACAAAATTATAATTTTTATTACATTTTTTATTTCTTGTAAACTTTTTCCTTTTCCATTTTCACAAAAATTTAAAACAACCAAAATAATAAAAAATAAAATAAAATATATCTTTTCTTTTTTTTCTCCCATCCCCTTCTTCTCTCCCTAACATCTCCCTACCCTCCCCACTTTATGGCTAGATCTAGCCATTATCTTATTAGATTTGGCTATACTAGCTTATAGAGATATAAAACTTCTCAAAAAACACTCACATTGGGTATACTAGATTTATGGAGATGTGAAACTCCTCTAGCTTTAATTAATAGTAATAATCTCATCTTAATCATTTACTAAGGTGACAATGAAAGATAATTATTTTTTTTAATTAGTAAAAGCAATAAGATCACTAGTACCTCACTATTAGTGCTATAATTGTCACATGTCTCATTTTGCATGCATTAAAGCTTTAGTGATCATTTGTGTGAGAGGACAAATTTAAGCCTAGTGACATTCTATACTTAAGATATGATAAAGTGTACTGATTTAAATTGAAAAAGTAACTTATATCTCAATAACAAAATTTTGACCAATAGTACAACCATATCAAATTTTACATAAACCTAAGCTCCAACTTTTTAACCAAAAACATCGTAATAGAGTGGTTTGGTAAAAAGAACTACAACCATGTCTCCTATAGAAATATAACTAAAGACAATTTTGCCTAGTGCAATAATGTCTATTAAGATGTTCTTTTGAGATTTTTAAAAATCTTTTCGAGAGTAGTCCAATGATCATCTCCAAGATTACTTTGATATATACTAACCATTCCAACAATGAAACAAATGTCTATTAATTGTAGTAATGGTTTTAGTGACCACTAGATGAATTTGAAAAAAAAAGATGGAGTCGCCACCAATCTTTTTTGGCTAAGTGTGATTGGCCACCTATTAAAATTTACCTTCTTAATAAAATTTTAAAATTAATTAAAATTTATTAAAAAGATAATTTTTGAGTCTATGACAACAATTTGAGTTTGTGAGTCAGTTACGTGTGAGAAAAGATTAGCACCCCCACAGCGCCTATTTAAAACGATACCAATTAATCATGTGGTATCTTTTAATTTTGATTAAAAAATGTCTTAATTTTGGTATTTAAAAATTAATTTACTTAATTCTTTAAAAGCATATTTTTCATTTTTAGTATCCTTGAAAAATAAATAAGAACCTTATATTGAAATATTCCTAAAAATATTCCAATATGTTGACAATATCAAAAGAAATTATCTCATCTAAGAAATTTTTAAGAATCACTACTTGGAAATCTAAAAAATTCTATCCTCAATGGTTCATATTTGTTTCTTATATTTATGTTAAAAAAATAAAATATGATATCTATAATTTTAAAAACAAATAGTATTTTTTAAAACTCATTTTTATGCCATTTATAAAAAATATAAAAAATCTTTATTGAAAATTAATCTAACTGTTCCAATACATTGGCAACATTTTAGATAGATTTTCTTACTGAAAGATTCCTAAAGAATCGCTACTTAGATTTCTTTAGGATCTCATTCTTAAAGATTTTTCGTTTGTTTTTTTATAAAAAATATTAGAAGTCATGTAAATATACAATTATCTACAAATATATTTATTTCCTAAAAAAACACAATCTTATTTATTAAAAAAACTGTTCAAATTATAGAAAATAACTATAAAATGGAAAATTTTCATATTGAAAAAAAACTTCTAAATATTCTAGTACTTAGGCAATTTTTAGAAGACTTTTCTTACCTAGGAAATTCTTAAGAATCACTACTCGGATTTCTCGGAGTCCCATCATAAAAAATTCTCATTACTTAATTTTATTATTTAAAAAAATGCATGCTTTTATAAATATTCATATTTTTACCTTTTTATAAGAATTGTTGAAATTAATTAAAATTTTTGTATTGAAAAGAGTTTCTAAATATTCTAATACTTTTGTAATTTTTAGAAATCTTTTCTCATATAGGGAATTCTTGAGAATCACTACTTGGACTTCCTAGAATCCTATCATCAAAAATTTTTATTTCATTTATTAATATGTAATGCAAACAATAAAGTAGAATATGCACATGAAAAATATATAGTACTTATTATTATGTTATACACTTTATTATTCATTTTAATTATGTTTTAATCTTCTTTAATTATTTTACAATTACCACTAAGAACTTTTGTTAAAGGAACAATGTAAACAAAATCTTTTATTGAAATTTCTCTAGATACCCTAATATTTTACTGGTATTTTAAAAGAATTTTCTCACTTAGGGCTCTCTTGGAATCTCTACTCGAACTTTCTTAGAATCCCATCATTGAAGATTGCATTTACTTTTTTTATTTTAATTCTAATTTTTTTAATTAGTAT